CCTTGGTTTTTCAGCCACACCATTTTGGGGGGTTTTATGCCTCCTCTTGGTCGGCAGCGCTGAGTAATGTGTATGCCTGGCACATCCCTGTTTCCCCAGAACGTGGGGCTGACAGTGGTCACCTACGTCTCTGGCCATGTCTGTCTGTTCGGTGGACCTGTGTAGGTCACAGAAGGCACTGGGTGAGGCACCTCCCCCAGGGGAACATGGCGAGGACGAGGGGGTAACCACAGTCTGCCCACTGAACTGTACGGGCTCCGAGACCTTCTGTACCGAGGTGGCTGTGACCTGCTTGGATTCGTGATCTCGCCCTAGGTCAAGCTCACTCCAGATCTGGAAGACCTCACAGCAGGGAGGCCCATACATATGGTATAAATATCTTGGTCCTCGCTGCAGAGGAAAATTCATGGAGCAGTAACCGAAACCCAGAAACCCTCATTCTGTTCTGTCTGATGAACCAGTTGTCCGGCGGGAACGAGAAACCCTACGGATGGCTTCCTTTGGCAGACCCCAAGTGGGGGCTCTGTCGAAGAAAGGAGCTAGGGAAGAGTCAGGCCAGAAAGTTCCAGGCGCCCGAGACATCTCTCAAAGACCCCTCCTACCGGGCACCGGCCCCCTGGCTCTCTCTGTAGCAGCCCCTCCTTGCTAGAGAGTGGGGGGGTGTTCCCACGGCCTGGGCCGTGCGTCCCTCTCCCTCCTCCTCCCCTGCCAGTGTCCCAGCGTCTGAGCCTTGTGACCCAGACTCTGCTGGGCCAGCCAGCCAGGCAGTAAAAGGAGATTGATGCCCTCTCCTCCTAGGAGAATCCATCACTTTTTGGCATGCGGGTCAAATGGCTTCACCAGAGGCAGCTCTGAGCAGCACTGTGTGAGCTAAAAAGAAGCACACAAAGGGGCCCAAACAGACACGAGGACGTCAGAAATGGGAATGGCTCACTCCAGCCATCCCCAGGGCCGAGCAGCGCCCTCTCCTCCCACACTCTTCCCGTCCCACCCCTCCTCCCCCGAGCCTCTGGGAAGGTGCACCTTCCTTTTGCCTTGGGTGATAGAGTCCAGGATGAGCAGGGTAAGAGGAGTCGGATAGGGTTGGAAGAAGGGAAGGCGGAGGGGCAACGTTCTGTGGACCGGATGGCCTTGGTGGCCATGAAGTAGGGTAGGATGGAAGAAAGGCGTGGACGGAGCGTGAGCTGGGGAGCCGTATGAAGGAGGGAGTCCTTCCTTGGCCACTGTCTGGCCTTGTGAACTTTAAGAAGCTGCCCCTGCTTCCATTTTCCCATCCGTGAATGGGGCACAATAGCCCTTGTCTCCGGTGCTTATCAGCAGAATTGAATTTGACCAAAGAGTAGCATTGGCCATCGATTACCTTCCCTTTGCCCTACTTCTTCCAACTTAGGTGTGGGGTGGGGGGCAGCTGCTCGGATGGTGCCGTGGAGCCTTGAGTCTTGTTGGCTCATGGGGCTGTCCACACGGAAGTGATTTGCCTTATGCATCTGGCCCAAACCCAGCCTCTCTCTGCGGAAGCCTCCAGGTGTCTTGTGGAACTTCTTACCACCATGGCTGGTGGTGGGGAGGGGAGGGAGGGTGTTCTCTCCTGGGGGAGCATTTATGGTGGAATGGAATCTGTTTTTATTTTCCATTCCTCCCGTTGCCCTTTCTAGATCTCCCCTCCCCCTTTGTGGACAAAGCTCAGGTATTACTCTCAAAATACTTCTCCCTGAAGACAACTAGAGTGAGCCAGGCCCGTTTTATTCTGAGCCACTGGGTGTTTCCAAGTCTTTGGAAAAGATCTGTTTGCAGATTTGGGGAAGACACTTGGGTCCGTGGGAGGCTTCTGCTTCGTGCTTGCAGTAACGTGCTTACCTTCCCCCCTGCCCCCCCCCCCCCAATGACTGTGCAAGGCCCACGGCTGTTAACGCTGCCCCTCCCGTGGTTGGGGCTCCATAGCTGCTGCCACACTGTGAACTCCTGGGACGTGGAGGGAGAGTTGAGAAACGGTCCCCTCTTTGCCGCCTCCACCTGACTTGCCCGAACCTTTCAGGGCCTGTGATTGTTGCTGCCGAGGGAGGGAGAGGAGGGAGCAGGCTCTGAGACTCGGAAGCTGAACACCAGAGCATGCTCTCTGTGGAGCTCCCCCTGTCCTTCCGTCCTTCCGTTTTCATCCTGCTCCCAGCTACCGTGAGTGAGGAGAGCTCGCAGGGCTGGTGAGGTGGCCCAGCCCGGAGCTGGACCAAGGGACCCAGAGATTTATATACTGTTAGCTTTGCCTTTATGGGGGTGTGTCAGGAACACAAGGAGGCAAGAGAGGCATGATCACCATCACATGCATGAGTAGTTGAGGCCCCGAGAGGGACCTTGATGCAGCCCAGGCTGCACAGCTCGGCGGGGAGGAGGGGCCTCTGGTAAGTCCAGGCTTGCAGGCCTTCGGATGGTGAAAAACGGATACAGCATTTGTGGACACACGACTGTCTGTTAAGAGCTGGCCAATTCCTCCCCTTCCCATGCCCTCCTGTTCCAGTGGTTCTCGAAGTGGGGTGCCCGGACCAGCAACGTCAGCATTACTCCGGAACTTACTAGAAAGGCAAATTCTTGGGCCCCGACCTAGACCTAGCAAATGGGAATCTCTGGGAGAAGGACCCAGCCATTTGCTCTAACGAGCCTTCTAGATGATTCTGTGGCAGCTCAGGTTTGAGAACAACACTGCCCTCTTACAGTGCCAAGGGAGGCTGGGGTCTAGGGTGGGGTCTGGGGCCAAAGGGAGCTTGTCCCTAGTGGTTTGGCTACTCTGGCCTGTCCTGATGCTCTGGATTCTAGTCCCGTCTCAGCATCAGCTGGGGACTCCTGACTTGTCCCTTGTTTCTCCTGCTTGTAAAATAATGTCCATAATGATGCAACACTTAAGAAGACTTAAGGAATTACAAACCTTCATATGCAATGGCTCGTGTAGTAGGTAAGTAGAACTTGTGTTATCTTCCCACACCCATTTTATAGATAAGGAAACTGAGTCCTAAGATGCTTTGTGAGGCGCCCAAGCCCATACTGTGTGGAGGATCCAGGTCTCGATCCAGGTGCCCCTGACCTCTCATTCCTTACCAGTCCTTGCAATGTTCAGAAGTGCAGACGTGGCCTTATAAAGCTGCCTTCCCAGCCCATTTCCGCTCCGCGGCCACACCAGGATGCTCACCTTGCAGGACCCTGTGCGTCATCACTAGTCACCCGGGAATGATTATGCCGTGATGAGCAGATGGCCTCCCCCGAGACAGGTCCTGACCTCCCATTTTGTCTCAGTGGGAGACTCTTTAGCCTTCCCCTTAAGGCCGACAAATACCATTCCTCAGAGGCTAAGAAATAGCAACAGAGGGTGTAAAGAAGGGAACCAATTTTTAATTCCCTTGTTGCGAAGACTGGGGCAAAGCCCTGCAGAGCACGGCAGCCACCTGGCAGTCACGTGGCCCGTGAGGAGCGGCCACCAGCCGTTGGGAGCCTGCAGCTCTGTCTTGCGGGGGAGGAGAGAAAAATGCTCTGTAAATGCTTCCTCCCACAGATCCGCGGGTCATCTGGGACACCGTGGGGAGACCAAGAATTCTGATAGGAAAAAACAAAACAAAAACAAAAACAAAGAGGTTTGTATAGTCTATTCTGAAAGGAATTCCCAAGCCAACCAAAACACTAAGCAAAGCCTTGCAGCCACCCTCGTCTGTTCCTGTCACATGTGTCCTCGCTCGTGGGGACAGTCTGCCATAGTCCTCTGTCTTCGGTTTTCAGTTTGTGACAAGGTCATTTGAGACAATCCTCTTTCCTGGCTCTGCAATGCTCTTTGTAGTGTTAATACAGATGTTTAGTGGGCTTCTGCCTGTTGCAGACTTAAGGGGAAGGTCAGTGAGCAAACTCTGGCTTGTGCCTTACATCACTAGCCCCCTGCTCATTCTATTCCTTCGTAGCATTCTTTCCAAGTAGATGGGACGGCTGAGGTGATATCTCTGCTCTCTCCTGGCAGATGGACTTGGCCTGCTGAATTAGTGGAGGGGGTCGCGGCTGTTCTCTGCCTGGACCGTGGTTCTGGGACAGTCTCTGGACTTGGCTTTCATGATCTCATTGGTCTTCCAGAGGAGAGGGATTTGTCAAGTAAAGGCTTCCCCCAGATAATTTTAGCTGCCACAGAGTCATCTCTATCACAAACCAGGCACCGTGCTAGGATTGTCACAGCCATTCTTGTATAACAAGAATCGTGTGTGTGCGTGTGTGTGCATGCGCGCGCACATACACACACACACACACACACACACACACACACACACACACACACACTGTCCCAGGTGCCAGGCCAAACTCTTCAAATGGATTATCTCATATCTTTACAAGACTTCAACAAGAAAGGTATTGGTGTTAATCCCATTTTATAGATGAGGACATCGAGGCACTGGGATGAAATAACTTCCCCAAGCCCAAAAAATGAGCAAGGAGGTGGAGTCAGGATTCAAACCTGATTTTGAACACCCCAGAGACCTCACAATTCCAAGTGCGGTCCAAGGGCCCACAGCACACAGGTTACCTGAGGGTTTGTTAGAAGTGCAGATTCTCAGAGCTACTGACTGAATCAGAATGTGCACTATGTCCAGGGGAGTCCTGTGACATGAGAGTAGCTGTTGAGACTGATCTATATGTGTGTGTATATCACACACACACACACACACACACACACATACACACACACACACACACTAACTAGCTAGTTATACCAGAATCCTGTGCTTTAGCTACTGTTGATTCTGTTTTCCAGCTGAGGCAGCTGTTAGACAGGTTTGGGGCGGGTCAGGGACAGAGGTGAGATTTGGTTCTGCGTCAGACTGAAACCACAACATGATGCCCGTTGTCATGCCCGAGTTGGGGTTCCTGGCCGTGTCTGCCTCTCCCAGGCTGTGGACCCAGAAGTAGAACCCCCTGCTGTCATGAGGACAGGTGCCTAGGACTGATCAGCTGCTCTCCCCTCTGTCCCCCTCCTACAGATGTGCAGCACATTAAGAGGAGGGACATCGTGTTGAAGCGGGAACTGGGCGAGGGAGCCTTTGGCAAGGTCTTCCTGGCCGAGTGCTACAACCTCAGCCCGACCAAGGACAAGATGCTCGTGGCCGTGAAGGTAAATCCCAGAGGTCTGCGGGCCCCAGGAAGGAGGAGGGGGTGCTGGGGGCCGGGGAGCAGGCGGGAGAGGCTCGCTCCATTCCTGGTGTGAAGGGGCATTCTTCATCCATTGTAATCAGGGGCCCTTGCTCTAAGGGCAGCGAGATTTCCGTTGGATCCACACCGACTTCCTCTGACTTTGGAAGTCAAGAACTACGGCACCTAAGGGGGCTGTGCCTGAGGTGCAGCTGGAGGAGTACGTTAGCCTGTGAAAGGGCCTGGGTCCCCATCCTTGTCCCCAGCTGGCCCTCCCCCCTCCTCAGTGACCTCAACAGGATGTGTCGTCCGTGCCTGGAGAGTCACTTGACGTTTCTCAGGAATAGAATTGAGTGAAGGGTGGGCAGCTGAAGGAGAATCTGGGAGCCCCCGGTCAAGGGCAGCAGACGTCACTGGGAATAGAAGGAGAAGAGTGGGGAAGGACCAGCTACTAACTAAGCACAGGGAGACTAGTGAGTGAACCCGGAAAAATTTCTTATACCCCCACGCATGTGATCCGGGTTCAGACCCCCGAGGGTAACTGCCTCCTGGCAGGTACTTAGATGGACCCAGGAACCACAGGACTTTTGTCTTGCTGAGCCAGCAGTGCAGGAGCTGAATTGTGTGGGGTGGTAGAGAAGAGACTTACCACCAGTTCCCCACCCCTGCACTCAGCCTGCAGAGAACAGCTTCTCCTATAAATCAGTGCTAAACAAATCTCTGAACATGATTTGTACGGACAAGGGCCAAGTAGGTGTCAGGAGCCCTGCTCTGGAGCGTGGACTGACCTCCATGGGTGCCACAGGAAGGCCTCTGAGAGGAGGGTGAATTCTGCCTGGTGTCCTGGGCTGAGAGCAAGAGATACCGCCCCCCCCCCCCATGAGGACTCTCACTGGGACCTCAAAAGGGTCCCGCCCTTAGCACTGAGGGCTCCAACCAAACCACTCACAATGACAGTTCCATGCTTCTGTGACTTTGGGGTCTGTATATTCACAGTCTTGTGTGTCTGCATATTGCCTGTCCATGGAGGGCAGATGGCCTCCACAGATGCTCTGCAGCCCCCAGGGATAGCGGGGGAGTCAGAGAGCCTGAGGGAGACCCCACCCTGCCACTGATTAGCTGTGCAACCCCACACAAGACACTTAACATCTCCAGCCCTCAGTTTCTTTATCTGTACAATGGGAAATACAATATCCTTCCTTAAAAGCATTGGTGATGAGATCACACAACATGTAAAATTGTTCATCCATTGTTTGGGACATAGTAAATGCTCAATAAAGAGTACTTGCTACTGGTTTTTATTATCACCATCATTCTCAATGTTGGTCTTATTGAATGTGCTTAGACACATGACATATGGCCTTCCAAGCTTACACTGACCAGCTAGAATAGGGGGTCTGAACCTTTTCTCTAAAAGGGCCAGATAATAAATATCTTAGGCTTTGAAGGCCATATG